AAAAGTTTCGCCATAATCAAAACTATGTGAATCCCTTTGCAACCAATATGGCCTTGTGCTTTGCCACCGAGCCATCAACCTTATGTTTCAGTTTATACATCTACTTGTTGCCTGTAAGGGTCTTGTCTGATGGGAAAGTTGTAAGAGTCCAAGTTTTTTTCTACTGAAGAGCTTCAAACTCTTTAGCCATTGTTTCTTTCCAATTAGTGCTTAGAAGAGCTTCATTGTCATATCTTGTTCTCTCTCTTCAACATGAATTGTTTAATAAACCATAGGCTTATGAATTCCTGCCTTGGCCCTTATAACCACAGGATGTTATATTGCTTTCTTAGCAACATAATCAACAAACACATTAACATCATCTTCAGACATAACATTACTCTCAATTGGTAAGTCAATATTGATACGTCCACCCAAAATAGGAGAATTTTGATGTGGTGAATCATAATTATGATTTTAATTGGATGATGAGGAGGATGAAGGAGGATTATTAGGAACATGCAATGGTGTATTTAATGTGTTGAGATTTGAATTAAGATCAGGTGAAACAATGTTTAAAGGTGACAAATTTGTGTCTGAAGATGGAGGATTTTTAATTTTCTTTATGTTTAAATAAAAGAATTGAGTCTCGTCAAAGATCACATGACCAGTTAGGATCACTCTTCTATTTGGTAGAAGCACTCTATATCCTCTATGCTTGCTGTTATAATCAAGGAACACAATAAGCTAACTTTTGTACTCAAGTTTGTTTTGATTATGTGGCTTCATTAGAGGATAACTCAGACATCCAAAAGGCTTAAGAAGAGAAAAGTCAGGTTTAGTCTTGTTTAAAACCTCAAATGGAGTTTTATATTCCAAAATCTTGCTAAGTGTTTTGTTTATAATGAAGGTATCACTACAAATTGTATCGTCCCAATGATATGTTAGAAGATTGGATTGCGAAAGAAGGGAAAGAGCAACTTAAATCAAGTGTCTATGATTTCTTTCTGCCATGCCATTTTTCTCAGGAGTATATGGGCATGACATTTGATTTTCAATTCTATTTTCAAACAAAAATTTTGCCAAAGCTATGAAATCTTCATTCATATCACTTTGAAAGCCCTTGAACTTTATTAGAGTATTGATTCTCAACGAAGGTCTTAAAATGAAAAAAGGCATCACATGTCCGATTTTTGCTTAAGTAGATAAACCCAAGTATTCTTACTTGCATAATCCATGAATGAATCATAGTACAAAATCCTTGAAAGGATTTTATTGGGGTTGGTCTCCATAATTCTGAATGTATGAACTCAATAAGGCCATAACTTTTTGCATCTGAGGTAGGAAAATGAAGCTTATGCATCTTTGATTCATACAAGGTGGACACAAAATAACATTGTTATTATCAAGGAAAGGAACATTACAATCAGTCAACATTTTCCTTAAAATAACCAAATTAGCATGCCCAAATCTAGTGTGCCAAACATATGGATCAACTATATTCCTAACTTCAGTTGAGAACAAACTCAAATTCTGGTTCAATAGTTGAGTGAAAATGTTCTTGGATTCGGAGGTGTTTGTTTGAAGGTAAAAGCTGTAGAGTCCATCTTTAAGTGCTCCCTTGAGTAGAACCTCTTTTGTGGTTTGATCCCTACCAAGGAAAAATGAAGGATGAAATTCAAAGAAAACATTATTGTCCTTTGTGAGACACTAATAAGGTTCTTGGTGATATTTGGCACATGAAGGAGCCTTTTAAAGGAAAAAAAATCAGAGGACATAACCATTGAATCACCATAATGAGAGATGTCCATACCTGCTCCATTGCCAAGGTGGATCCTCCCATCTCTTATATACTCAGTAGCAGTGCTCAAGTTGGACAGATCATGAGTGACATGATTGGTTACCCCAGAGTTAAGATCCCAATATTATGATTGAGATCCTCCACTTCCATTCACATTAGTGAGATTGACTACACCTCTGCTTGTGAACTAATTTCCAGTAGCTTGGTCTTGATAACTGGAGTTGGTGTTTTGTTTGGGAATAAAGTTAAGGTCACATCTGTAGTAACACTTATGCATCGTGTGGTTGTTGTAGTGGCAAATTTGACATCTTGGTCTATCACCATTCCTTCTCACTGTTTCTCTATAAGGTCCTCATCTACCATATTTTCCACCCATTTGATTGTTGCATTGACCTCTCTGGTTTTGAGATGGATTACCACCACCTATGATACCACCTCTTATGTTGGTGAAGTTTATGTAGAATTGGTTGTTTTCTTCAGTGTTAGGTCCTTCAATTGATTCCAATATGTTTTTAGAACTCAGAATGAGAGGTTGGACTTCTCTTAGTTTAGGTGGACCAGAATTAGATAGGATGGAGACAACAACTTGATTATACTTATTTTCAAGCTTGCTAGGACATGAGAAACTTGATCTTCCTCACTAACTATTTGTCTTGAAGTTGAGATGATGTCACAACAAGACTTGATGTTAATGAAATAGGCCTTCATGGAACATTTCTTTTCTTGGTTATCTGCAACTTCAGCTTGTACTCCATGACCTTGATTGCATTTTGGCTAGAGAAAGTGGTCTTAATAGATTCCCAAATCTCTCTTGAAGTGGAAATGTTAGACTTAGTTAAGAAGGAAAAAAGCCAAGAGGTCAACAAATGCATTTAGAATGACACTGTCAGTTACACGACTTACAATCTCATATTGTAACTCTTTTTAATTTATATCAGATAACTACTTTGTAGTTAAGTTGATTTAAATAATTTTATTTTTTTGAATTAATATTTATATGTAATTTGATTTTAATTATAAAGATAAATAAAATTATTATTTATTTTGCATATATGATATAGATGTCAAATCTATGTTTATCAAGATATGATTAATTTAATGTATTATATATATATAATTATCAATAAATAAAAAAATTATTAACTTATAAATATATTAATAATTTAATTTAGTAAATTTGTTACAATTTAAAAAAAAAATATATATAAGAAAAAAAGAAAGATTGAAAAAAAAATATACCTCATAAACCACCACGTCTACAATAAAAAATGATATTAAACGCAGTTAATGCTCTTAAGAGGACCACAATTATTCGTTATATTTATTGATATCCCAAACTTAGTTAAAATATAAACTAGTGCGTACCCCGTGCGATGCACGAATAAACAATATGACTTTCATAGCATATAAAATTGTATTATCACACATGCATGATAAATCTACATCTTAAGTTCATACTTTGTATTTTCTAATGGGATAACATCCTTTATTAGGGATCATATGTATTTAATATGTCCATATCTACATATCGACAATTTAAATTTTGAGTTTGAAGATAACTAGAATATATGATTGCATAATATCGTTCAATAATTAAATCAATCGCAACTTCATGATTTGGTATTTTAAAATTTAGAAAAAAATAAAAAAATTATTAATTTATGGGAGATATATGATAAATCTATTTAAGTCTTGTATACATCACGTCTTACATTTAAAGCAATGTAAACATGGAAATTAAGATATTTTGAATCTCTAATTTAAATAAAGACCGTAAAAATTTGATTTGGTATTTTGATATAAAAAAAATCATTAATGTAGGAGATGATATGTGATAAATCTATCTAAATGTTGGATACATCACGTTTTACAATTAAAGCAATTTAAATATGGAGATTATTCTTATTTCGAATCTCTAATTTAAACAATGACCATAAAATTTTTTATTGTTTCAAAATTAGAGTTGTGTATTATTTTTCATTATAAATAATTGTCAAACAAAATTATTGAATCAACCGCAACTTTATTTTCTTAATTGAAACTGCTCAATTTGATTGTTAGAAAAAATATTTTCAAAAGAAATAAACAAATGATTTTTTTTTTTAAAAATATTTTTACCCTTAAATCAACCGTAATTTGTTTTGTTAAATAAAACCTGCTAATCAAAACATATTGTATTAGGCTATTAGCCGATTATATAGAAAAAAAAAAGTTATTGATATTTTTAAAATACAAAAGTATATTTTTATGGTTAAAAAAATAGCACGTAACTTTTTTTATTATTAAATCAATTGTAATTTTTTTATTAAAAAAAAGATGTCAGACAAAACAATTGTATTAGGCGAATACCTGGTTTTAAATTTGGAGAATATAATTGTTCGATGTTTAATTGAATTAGCAGCTGTGACGTACATTTATATTCAAATTTAAATACAGCTTTTTGTAACCAATAACCAAATCTAATTGATGCAATCTGTGCATTATCAACTTTTGATATGCACATCATGTCAAACCATCACAAATATTCAAGAGACTAAATTTAAATAGCAGCCCAACTTTTTTGAAAATAAAAAGTAACAAACTCCTCATTTTAAGGACAACATTTAAAAAAATATTAAAAAGATCCAAAAAATGACATGTAATTAATGCTGACCAGTTTTGACCAAGGATTGACTTACTATTCTTGATAAATGGTACTCCTCTTTTTTTTTTTTAAATGTCATTCTACCTTTATCAACTATTTGTCAAATAAATGTCATTTTGGATCTTTTCTACATATTTTTCCATTATTACCCTCATTTAACTAATAAATATCTTTACATATCCACTCTTCAATTTTTCTCAAAACATTTATCTCTATATTTATTAAATAAAGTTATTATTAACAAAAAAATATTCTTAATTAAAATGTAACTTCTCAAAACGACATATATTAAAAATAGGAGATAGTAATTCTCTTTATATAGATATAAATATAGATATAGATATATTAAAATTCATCTAATAACCCCAAATAACAAAACTATTTCATAAATTTGGTCGCGTGAAGATGAAGCTGCTTTCTACAAACGCTATGTGTACGGCGCGCATGTACAACTACGGCAACGTCTCCGCATTGGGGTAACACACAGTAGAGAGCCTGTTTATTTGATTGATTTGCATATTCTGCAACAAGAATACCAAGGTTCCCAGTTTTACTCTGTCTCTGCGAATTTCTCCAATGGCTACCTTTGGCGCTGCTTCTGCGAACGTCAACCCTAACCGTTCCACTGAGGTTACCATAATTTACTTGCTTCTTTCAAGTTTTGTGTAGTTTTTGCTGTACTTAATTTCTCAAGGTTCTCCACTCCAATATTTTTGGTCTGGAAGTGTTCTGATTGAGTTTTGATGTGCATTCTTGTATCTGAAGGTGGCGCAACCTCCCAGTGATTCAGTATCAAGTCTATGTTTCAGTTCTAAAGCAAATTTTCTGGTCGCTACTTCATGGGATAATCAGGTACAGTTGTTTTCTTCAGGCTTGCTAACTATTGGTCATTTTCGTGTTTTCTTGTACTTGCTATCCCTTTTAGATCCTTTCTGTTGTCCTATATGTACATTGCAATGTGGTATATTTGGTAGCTGTGAGGGGTTTCCCTATGTCTATTCATGAATATTAGGGTTTAGTTTTGTTTGAATTGGTGGTCATATGGGCCATGTCTTGTTGCCTTTTATTTAGGTACCGATGTTTTTTTCTCAATTTTGTTTGTTGAGAAAACAAGTAGTTTAGAAATTTTTATTTTTCTTAATTTCTCTTTTCTTTGCTTGAAAGTTTCTATCTCTGGTGGAGACTTGATATGTATTCTTTCGTGGATGGGGCCAAGTTTGGGAAATGTTTGATGTTCAACAAGTCTTCCTGTTTCTTTTTGTGGATGAGAAAAGCTAATTGGTGCATCTTGTGCCACATTCTTGTTAGGTAAGATGTTGGGAGGTAATGAAATCAGGAAGCACAATCAACACTGTTCCAAAGGCATCAATATCTCACGACCATCCGGTGATATTTCATTTTTACATGATCGTATGACTATAACTCGTGAAAGTTTTGTGTAACTAACTGTGTAAGCTTGGCTCAGGTCTTGTGTTCGGCTTGGAAGGATGATGGCACAACAGTCTTTTCTGGAGGCTGTGACAAGCAAGTCAAGATGTGGCCGCTGTTATCTGGTGGTCAGCCGGTTACTGTTGCCATGCATGATGCTCCTATTAAACAGCTCGCTTGGATTCCAGAAGTGAATCTTCTAGCCACTGGCAGCTGGGATAAAACAATAAGGTGAATTCATTTGTTCCTTCTCGTTGTTTAAAGTGAGAAGTCAGGCACCTTTAGATTACTAACTTTTGGGGATATGTATAACCTTGTTTGAAGAATTCGTGTGCATAGTATCTATTCGAGTGTGAAAAGATGAGATGTATGACGATCTCCTTTATGTTGAACTTTAGTGAGTAGCTCTTAGCTTCATATGCACCTTTTGGCATTTAAGAATTTTACTTATTTCCAGTTATGAGTTATCATCTGCATGAAAATAAGGCAAAATCTGTGTGGCTGTTTATATATTATATTTTCGCGTATTTGTTGGCTTCAGAATACAAATCGCTTCAAGATGTGTAGATTCTAGACCAACTTGGGTTATTTATTTGTGTTGGAAATTTATACTGTAAATGGGTCGTGTTTCATTTTGTTGATTTAATTAGTATTGGATCTTCTCTAAAGAAATTATAAAGTGTTATGAGGGTCAGATCTCTAATCTCTTCCTTTTGTTTTGTTTTGTTTTGAGTTTTGTTTTGTTTGGTTTTGAGCCCTTTTTGTGTTTCTCTCACCATTGTTTCTCTTGGGTTTAATCTCTAGCCTACCCCAACTTGTTTGGGACTAAAAGGCTTTGTTGTTGTTGTTGTTGTTGTTGTTGTTGTTGTTGTATGAGGGTCAGATCTTTTTCTTTCTAAAATATATATACATATATATATATATACATATATATATATATTTTAATGTAAGACCTAATGTTTTTGGCACTTTAACATTACTTTCAAATGTTTTTTCTTTCAAGTTCAAGTCTACCTCATTTTGCAACATTGGTTGAAAGTGAAGATTTCGTCTCTGCTCAGGTATTGGGACTTACGGCAGCAAAATCCAGCTTTGATGGTGCAGCTTCCTGATCGCTGCTATGCACTTACAGTGAAACATCCTCTTATGGTAGTTGGAACCGCTGATAGAAATCTTATAATCTACAACCTTCAGAACCCTCAGGTTTTTTTTTTTTCCTTCATTATATCATTTTGATATCTTTTAAAAGGTTTCATGAATCAGACTACGCCTTGGTAAAGTATAACATTGTCTCATACTTCACAAAATAGTTATGGATGATGGTAAAGGGAAACCTTACCACAAAACTAGTTCAGCAGTTAAGTTCAGTTCGGTCAGCTAGAAGCACGTATGTAATGTGTTTGTATGTGTGTCTATTTAATAAAGTGGGTTCCTATCTATTTTACATAAGAATTTATTCATTACATTTTTATTTATATAATGTAATAAAAAAATGTAACTAATTGCACTTTACTAGCTGTTAGATTTGGAATTGATACTTCTAAGAAGGCCTAATTTGAATCTCTTTTCTCATTCCGACTTTCCAGAATTCAGACCTTTAGCCTTTTTGACATTGGTAGTTTTAGGTCTTCTTGGCATTAGCATTTAAATTATCTTGCACTAGTCCTTTGCCCATTCAGCCATTCACATGGAAACAAGTACATTCACATTTGTTTGTGTATTTAAGCTTTACTTATCTTTGATTAACAGTTGCAATATGAGATTCATGATGTAGAGAAAACTTGACCGGTTGTTTGTTGAATGTGGCAGACAGAATACAAGAGAATTGTATCACCCCTCAAGTATCAGACCAGGTGTTTAGCTGCTTTCCCTAATCAGCAAGGTTTCTTGGTAAGTTTCCCTGTATTTGAGTTTTTCATGCCACAATCTTCTACTCAGATTTGAGAATCAATCTGTTAATATATATTTCATGAGTGGCACTTATTGTGATGCTACTATGTTTTAACACTAATATCTTAAGGCGTGAAACATACTTTCTGAGACCTAAATGGAATAATATCATCCTCTCATATTGTCGCTATGTCATAAAAAATTAATTTCAATTTTATTATTGTTATTTTCTTATTTATGCTAATGTTAATGTTATTTTTATCTCTTAGAAAACTATACTATATTTATAATAAATATTTGTATATTGTATAATGAATTAATAACTCGTTTGTATTCATTTAGTTAAATAATATAAATATATCATTAGTAAACCTTATTTAGTAATCTATGGTTGTACATAGTATTATGAATAAATATATAATATATAGATAAATATAAATTATCGGACTTCCATATATATATATATATATATATATATATATCAATATAAGTTTTCATTTTTATATATCTCAAAAATATGAATAATAAATAAAAATGCAATTTTTTATTTATTTTAAATTATTTTCCAAAATAAATTACTTCAAATATAATTTAATAATGAATTGTATTACATTTTATATGTTTATTTCTCATTGCTAGTTAGTTTACTTTTTGAAAAATTAAACCTTAAAGGTAGGGTAATGAATAATTCCATGTCGTTGCTAAGGAATGACTACTCACATGGAGATAGGTTTTGATTCAGTGGAATGGTCATTCAACCTCTAACTTATAGTTATACCAATCAAGGGACTGGGAATGATCCCAATAGATATTTCCTGAACTTCTCATCTTGACAAGGATAGCACTTTTCCTTCTCAAAGATTTGCCTTTTCTTCACTTCTCCCGCCTTGCTCTTGAATCATTCTGGTATCTAACAATCTAGTAGCTACTTTTCCAAGCCTGTTAGAGAATGCATATTCAATTCCAATGATATTTTATCGTACCAATAAAGTTATTAGTGCTTATGTTCCGTCGATGTTTGATTCTATAAATCTTGTTTGCAATTTCTATTTGGTAGATTTTAACATGTAAAGAGGGTCAAGAAAATTATCTTGAAAAGGAATGTTATGTGAAATATTTTCTGATTTGCAGTAATGATGAAACGCATAAACCTAATACCTTTACGCTTGGACATTTTTTTTAGGTTGGTTCAATTGAAGGAAGAGTTGGTGTACATCATCTTGATGATAACCAAGCAAGTAACAACTTCACTTTTAAATGCCACAGGGATGGCAATGACATTTACTCAGTCAACTCACTAAATTTTCACCCCGTAAGATCTTTTAATGTTTACATGTTTATCAAATTGGTTAGTTTATCATTTGCTATTGGTGCTCCTTTTCCTTCTTCATGAATTTACCTTCATGGCTTAAATTGTAAATTCAACCAACCATGATAGACTAGTCTATATGGAGAAGATTATTTGCTTTTTGCCTGTGGTATACTTGAAATAGAAGTGACAATTAGAGGAAAATAAAAACTGATTGCTTATGAAATACTTCATATACTTATTTTGGAGTCCACCAACTTCTGTATGAAATTATGAATGCTTGAATTAATATCTAATACGACAACATATGGTCCTTCTTGGAAAAGAACAAATGTCTATTATAGCCCTTCTTACAAGTAGGAAGAGGTTATCAATTTCTCATCCACATATTTGATTTCGTGTTATTCTTCATTGAGAAGAATGATACCATCATGAAACATCATCTGTTAGGCACTGTAAATCTTGTAGGAGCTTATTGACCTTTAAGTTATCTTGTATGATGCTACAAAGCGCTAGTCAGCTGATTCATCTCCATCTTCTTTTATTTACTTAAGACTGGATGATATGGGATCTTAGGCAGGTTTTGTAAATTTTTCCTGTTTCTGTGGTCTTCTGTCAATTTTTTTACACTAAATTTTTTTGCCTTAAATTTCTTTCATTCTTCTGCTTTGTTATGTTTAAGGATCTTACTACATTAAGCTGTTTCTTTAGATGGTCTTTAAATATTTTGTAATCCGTGGCTTAATTGCTTCCTATTTTGTTAAGAGTATATTCAATTAATTTCTGTAGTTCTTTCTGAAACGGTTTATATTGTGGCAACATCTCAGATATACCATACATTTGCTACCTCCGGGTCTGATGGAGCCTTCAACTTTTGGGACAAAGATAGCAAGCAGAGGCTCAAGGTATAAAACATTTTTCCGCTTCAGTTTGCAAAGGCTTCTTATGTAGGTCTGATCTCACTATTTTCAAAATTTCCTCTGTTTTGTTTATTTAGGCTATGCTGAGGTGCAATCAACCAATACCTTGCAGTGCTTTCAACAATGACGGCTCCATCTTTGCATATTCGGTACATTATATGTTGCTATTTCCTGTAAATGTTTTTTACTATCTTCGAAAAGATCACTTACTGTAAGCTATAGCCTAAATTCAAAAATTTCTCTTCTCAAAACTACATGTATATCCTGCTAAAGGTTTATAAGGGGATACTCGTAATTTCTAAAGATAACTAGTTTTCTACAAATAGGGCATACCTTGGATGTTTTTTGTCGCAAACCCTTTTTGGACATTAAGTTTTGACTGGTGGTGTATCTTCAAGACTTCAACTAACATTTTTCAGACAAACAACTTACTCTAAATAGTTTGGACTTTGTAGTCTGTGTTAGCAAATTATGATAAAAATAAAAATAAAATGGATGTCCTCGGAATCCTGGATTCGTCATCTATCCTTATGAATTCAGGTGTGTTATGACTGGAGCAAAGGAGCTGAGAACCATAATCCATCAACAGCAAAGACGTACATATACCTACATCTTCCTCAGGTAATCTTATTCAAGTATATCTAAAGCTTATTTCTTCTGAAATAATACTTCTGCTGTAAATTATATAACTGCATGAATTCGGCATCAATAATTGCAGGACGCTGAAGTCAAAGCCAAACCACGTGCTGGAACTAGCGGCAGAAAGTGAAAGCACACTTAAAAAGAACATCTCATTTCCGATGGATCAAAATCATATTTCTGTATTAGGAGATCGTGCATTTACTAGTCTTTGCCTTACCATAACTGCTGAATCATACTTTAATTTTCAATCCTGATGATTGTGTGTGCTTGTGGCATGATCACCGTACGGTGGTCGAACTAAATTGCTGCTTTTGTTCATGGGGAGCCGCCAATGCATAACTACGTTAGGTGTTTTGTTTGATCTATTTCGATGATAGTCCACAAGATATATAGTTTCATCTTTGAGGTTGTAAAGCGGAAAAGGCATTTGTTGGAAGCTGAGGTTACCAAAGAGTGTGTTGGGTGCGAACAAAAACTCATAAGACGGAGGAATTATCCTTGTTTGGATTTGTTTTGGGTTATATGGAGTTCAGGGGGATTTGTTCCCAAGAGCTTGCACTCTGAATTTCGGTTCAACTTTTCACTATCTGCTTAATGAATTTAATGTAATTCCAAGCATTGTACTGTAAATCTGTAAAGGCACATTTGATAAATGATAATATTGGACTTCTGAATAAAAAATTGTTGTAGCTAAAAAGTACCTTATATTTACATGTTTGGGAACAACAATAATGTAAAGTATAATAATATGTGGAAGTAAAATGTGTTAAAAAGTACATTTTATTGACATGTTAAGGTGGGAACAACAATAATGTAAAGTATTATATGTGGAAGAAAAAATGTGTGTGTGTGTATTTTTTTTTTTTTTTTTTTTTNNNTTTTTTTTTTTTCGAAACGGTAAAAACTTTACTCATAACATAAACAAATGTACAAAGCCCAGACTAAATAGTCTGAGACCTGCCACAAGATACACAGAGCAAACATCCTAATCCAACTAACCCAACAAAATTGAAGAATCTTGTTGTCGGCAGTGTCAAAGCAGACTAAAAAAATGTGTGTTTGACAAGCAAGAGAACACTTGATAAAAGGAGCAATGTTCCTCTACCCACGGTAGACACATGTTAATATGTCTACCGCTTATGTGGCATGCACACATTGGTGATGTAAATATGTTCAAAAAAATACATCACCAATGTTTGCATGCCACTTAAGCGGTGTACATATTAACATGTGCCCACCGTGGGTAGGAGAGCATTACTCTGGTAAAAGAGTGCTTCAGTAAATTGTCTTTAAATATTGGTTTTAATGAGGGTATAAGCGTAAAATTTATTACTGTAAAATAGCAATAGGAATTTACTTTAAGTAAAATGTAAAATCCTGCCTAAAAATATAGATTTTACTACAATTGATAATTTTTCTGAAATTCTTTAAAAACTGACGTTTGATTTGTAATTTGATTTTCAAGTTCATTCAAACATTTAAAAAAAATCTTTAAACAAAAATATCATAAGCGTATTTTTTTGAATACATTTTATTTTATCTTAACTTACTTATAATCTGATTCCTAACAAACATTAAATTTTCTTATATATTTTTGAATTAATTACATCAATAAATAATATTAATATACTTTAAATATTTACCATTATAAAAAAAAAAGAATATTAATTCTATAAGTGTTATAAATAATAATGACATTATACAACAATTTTTTTGAATAAAATAATATTTGAGTAATATGATGAACCAAAGTATGTAAAATTATTTTTTTATATTAAAAAATGAATATATATATATAATAATATCAAAATATCATTTATATTAAATATAAACGGGTCAACTGTCTAATATATTGTTAAAATAAAGTTTTGAAAAAATGTTCTAAGATATGAAACCCCCGTACATCGCACGGAATTCACACTAGTCTTAAGTAAATAAGTGGACAAAAATTATCTTACCTGTAATTAATTATCACAGCATAAGCATATTATTTCATGGGCTTCATACATAGTTTTCGGGCCTTTAAAATTTAGTGGACTTTTATCTTTAACCGCATTGTATTCTGTTTTTTTTTTCGAAACGATAGAGTAACCGCATTGTATTCGACAGGCCATATAAATTTGACAAATTACACGTGTGTTGTATGATTTGAAAAGAATTGCACGTAAACGAATCAAGAAAATAACTAGAATGTTTAGGGAATATGTAGCAAGTTATAGGAATATGCATATTATCAGTTATCAAAATTAAAAACAATTATGTTTCGTAATTATCGTAACTGAAGTCAATTAAAATAAAAAACAATATGGGGCATCCCCCTCTTGCCGATTCTATCATATCCTCCACCACCCCTCTGTTGTCCAACGACACCCTAAGCTCCACCCTCTTGAACGGAACATCGTTCTCTTGTTGTCGCTCAGGGCCCTCACTGTCGGCAGAGACACCGGCGTCGAGTGAGCCGATGGCGGAGGTCCTGAGACCCTACAGATTGAGCACGAGGGCCCTGAGGATGTGCGGAGTGGCGCCGTTTGGGTTGAGGTCGATAGCCCGATCGGCTTCGGCATTGGCTCGGTCGACGAGAAGACTACGTCGGAGGTAGAGGATCTGGTTGGGGAGATTTCTAGGGCTTGAACCAGTCTAGGCCGGTTGATTTCTCGCCCTTCTTGCAGCTGACGAGTTTCTCGGAGGCGGGAGAGGGGGAAAGAGATGGTAGTGAAGTTTGGGTAGAAATTGGCTGCGGCGGGGCGGATGTCGCCGGAGAAGATGGCAGCGAGGAGAAGAGAAGAGAGATGAGCGATAAATTTTACTGGCCCAAGAGTATTTGCAGGATATGTTGCGTTTATAGTTAGCATATTTTCAATATATGTTGCATTTTTTTCTTACACAACATTTATCTAACCACAATTGTGATGTTTGAATTCTTTTTATATTTTTTTATATTTTCTGCTTATTTTTATACAAATAATCTATACAACATTGATATGTAAAACACATTATAAGTGCTCTCTTAAAAAAATAATACACATTAAATTACAGTATTTTTTTTGTTCAACTAAAATTCGGTTTATAACCTGTAACTATGTAATAATATATAAGTATATATATATATATATACAATTTCTGTCTCCATAATATTAAACCTAAAGTCGGCCGGAAGCTTGTGCCGAAGTGGTCCAAAAAATTACACAAAAAAGGTGGTGAAGAAAAGGTCGGTGCAAACACATTCGGCAACGCCGACGAAATCTAAACGACAAAGAAGCGAAAACGGCAGAAAATGAAGTCTCATACTTTCGCAAGAAGAAAAACCTGACCAAGATTCTGATTTTGTTGAAGAAGAATTTGACATGGACAAGATGGACGGTTGGCTCCTCCTCCTTCATGTTGCTTCAACCTCCAAGTCGGTTCCCTCCTGAATAAAAGCTGCTAGAACTTGGGCCTTTATCACCCTCCGAGGTTCGTACACCAAATAAATACTCACTCAACTCGATCGCTCACTTAACCATACGACTAAACTGAAGGTCGGCCCAGTGTCTCTCCAAGTGGCATGTTGTCACTACCTTGACTTTGTGAGTAAGAAAATACGACCTCAACTTCCTCACGGTAGACCACTGCCAAAGCTCTTTTTTCAATCTCAGAATATCTCAACTACGCCCCTTGCATCGCTCGACCTACATAGTAAATTTGATATTGTGCCATACCTTCCTCCTGCAACAGCACCGAGATCACTTGTGTGATCCTGATCAAAATGTATAATACCAAGTCTTCTCCATGCACTGGTTTGGTCAACAAAGGTAGATCAGCCAGAACCACCTACAGTTCTTCAAATTCCTTCTGTGCCTCTTCTGTCCAATTGAACTTCGAGCTCTTCTTCAGGGTTTGAATAGTGGACTGCTCCTCTCGGCCACTTTTGAGATAAAAATGGCTCAAACCTGCTATTCGGCCAGTCAATATCTGCCTCCATCACATTCATCGGAAGCCTCATCTTCAACACTGCTCGCAACTTATTATGGTTCACCTCGATCCCTTTTTGCATCACCATATACCCACAAAAACTTTCCCGACTTCACGCTGAAAGAGCACTTAGCTGGATTAAACTTCATCCCATACCTTCTGAGTGTAGTAAAAGTCTCATTCAAGTCTGCTATGTGGTTAGCCTCCACTCTACTCTTCACCAACATGTCGTCCACATACACCTCCATATTTCGACATAACAGTTCGTTAAAGATCTTATCGACCAATCTTTGATAGGTCGCTCTCGCATTCTTCAGGCCGAACGACATGACCACGTAACTATAAGTTCTCTTGCTTGTCACAAAGCTAACTCGCTTTCGATCCTCCCTCACCAATGGAATCTGATGATAACCTTGTGAGGCGTCCATCAATCTCAACAATCGCACCCTGCAATTGAGTCGACCAGCTGGTCGATCTGTAGAAATACGTAGAAGTCCTTAGGGCATGCCTTGTTGAGGTCCCTAAAATCAATGCACATTCGACACCTGTCTTCGGACTTGGAAACCATCACCGTATTCGACAACCACTTTGGGAACTGAATCTCGACCACATGCTCTGTCGGCAATAGCTTATCGACCTCATACTCGATAGTTTTGTCCATTTTCGCTCCGTGGTGGCGTCTTGATGACGGATTGTGATCGGTGTTGTTATTTATACGTTGGGTTGTGAATAAACGGCGCACTCAGGGCCTTCGTTTATCCACGATAGGTGTATCTAGCAGACGCACTCAAGGCCTTCTTCTAGACACTGTGACTTCGAGACGCTCTCAGGGCCTTCTCTCCGACACTGTATGTAAACACGCATTGACGGCCTTGTTTATCACACGTTAGAACATAAAGTTCCCTCAACTGGCTCACCAATTCAATACTCAATTCAACATGTAAAATATGATGAGGTACATGGGGTATTTATAGATGCCAACTACCTCTAAGCCTAATAGATCTAGATCTCCTATTCTATGCAATAAAATAAATCCTAACTCTAGAAAGCAATAAAATCCTAAAGCTACCAAATAACTATTGTTTGGTTTGCACACCAAGCAAATCTAGAATGCTCCTAACTAAAAACCTTCTCACGCCCAACTCTCGGCCGCCTTTCAACCCGCACGCGTCCCACGCGTATGCGCGCGCCGCTCGTCCGTGTTGCCTAATCCTTGGCGCCTTGGGACTCGCGTGTCCGTATCGCACGCGCGCGCCTGCGCGCGCGCCCAGCGTTGCCGCCATTCCTCTTGCGCGTGCCTGCCAGCGCCCCTCTCCTATGCCTACCGCGCCTAGGCAAGCGCCCGCGCATACCGCCCACTCGCGCGCCCCCGCTCGCTTTGCGTTCCTTCCCGTGGCCTCGCGCGCGTCCCAACCGTCGCTCGTGCTCCGATCCTGTACCGCGCACTCCCGTACGCCCGTGCACCCACCAGCCGCGTGCCCGCGTAACCCTCGCAAATCCCGCGTGCACGGCTTTTTTTCCCATTTGTGCGCATCAAGGGCCGATGCGCACCTTTCGCATTTGAGCCCCTTACTAAACTCGTCGGTCCATAACTCCACTTCCGTATCATTCCCCTCCTCTTCAAGACTTTCCTTGTCCCCAAGGATAAGAGAATTCAGTACCTCCACATCACTCTTCTCTTCGATAGGCAAATCTCCTCGATCCTCAGTCCTTAACTTAATCCGCTTTCCCGGTCGCCCAAATTCCATCTTACCTCGCTTGTAGTCAGTTGTAATGGGCCCAAGTGTCTCCAACCATTGCACGCCCAATACTACATCCGTTGCCCTTAGTGGTAAAGCATAGAGATCGATTTCCAACTCTTGGTCTTGAGCCATTATTGGAACCCTTTTGAATAACTGATTCCCTTGAAGTTCATGTCCATTGGCTACCTTAACCCCAAACGTCTTGACTTTAGTGGGTTTTAGCTTCAACCTTTTGGCTATCCTCTCGTCAATGAAATTCAAGCTCGACCCACTATCCACCAACACTTCCAACAGCATGTCTTTAATTTCTGCCGTGAACCTGATCATCTTTGGACCTCGTTTCTTGCACTCAACCATGTGTAATAGCGTCTCCTCGTGTGGTTCTCCCTCTTCCTCAAATTCCAACAAAAAGACCTCCTTACCTTTGCACCTGTGGCCTGGCGTAAACTTTTCATTGCATGAATAGCAAAGGCCTTTTTCTCGTCGTCGCTGCATCTCTTCATCAGTAAGCCGCCGTATGTTGCTTGTGGTTCGAACAGTCTCGCCCATCGGCTTGCTTTCGGCTCGGGCCGCTTGCTCCTCAGTCGTGCGCTTGGTCTCCGTGCGCACTTCGCTCGGCCTTGCCTTGCGTACCGCCACGAGATGATCTTCATGCAATCTAGCCGACTCTATGGCTGCTCGCATCGATCCTGGCCTGTCCAACCTCACTTCGGCTGCCAGTTCAGCTTTAAGTCCTCCAACAAACGTCCCCACTAGCGCAGCCTCGGGCCAGTCCCGTACTCTACTAGCAATGTGTTCGAACTCCTTTTGATAATCCCTTAGACTACCCACTTGTTTGATTCTTGACAAAGCCTCGTTGTAATCGTGGTAGTCACTCGAGCCAAACCTCGTGATGAGCTCTTTTTCAAAATCCCTCCAACGCATGTGCTCACCCCGGTTTTTGTGCACTACCCATTGCCACCAGACGTTTGCTTCTCCATCAAGGTGATAAGCAGCAATTTGAACCCTTTCGTACCTTGGCACATCATTGATCTCAAAAAATTGCACAGCTCGACTCAACCATGCATCTGGATCTGTCCCCGTGAACGTGGGCATGACTATTTTTGGCCGTGTACTTGCCTGCTCGTCCCGTGGATCGTCGCGATCGTGGTATCGGGCACGTCTCTCGTCCCGTCGTTCATCGTGTCGTCGGCCCTCGTTGTAGCGCTCTCGATCATCGCGCCGCGCTCGGTGCTCATCGTGTGTGGCCCGCGATGCGTACGATGCGTACGACTGTCGGTCGTCGTCTTCCTCGCGCCTTCGGCTGTGATGTGCGCGTCCACCATACCGCTGCCGATCGTCGCGGTAGTGATCTGCGCGCGATGCGCGTGTGCCACGCGATCGGCGATCGTCCTCGCGCTCGGTCCCGGTGCTTTTCGCCGTGGACCTTGACCCGTGACGCCTCCTTGGCCGTGTGTTCATGCGCATTAGTTGTCCGGCCAAGTCCTGGACCATTAGTTCGATCCTTCCCAAGTTCTCGTTGGTAGCATGTTGACCATCGCCGATGATCTTCATGTTGTCATCCAAGGCTTGAATCCTCTCACGGTTTGACATCATAAATATTATATTTTTTTTTTTACTCTAAAAAATCGAAAAAATTAATAGGGGAAAAATTCGAAAATTCGAACCCCCAACAAGACTCAAAAAATCGAAACAAAAAAGAAATTCGGTCCCTCCACAAAAGGTAATAACCGAAAAAAATTCAAACAAAGGACTAACAAGATGACACTTTTTTTTTTTAAATGAAAAATTCGAATAAATTCGAAAATTTCGACCCAAAAAAAGAAGAGAAATTCGGCCCCTCAGCAAAAGGCAAACCGAAAAAAAGAAAAAGATAGGATAAATAAAAACACGATCAGCACCTCTCAATGAAACAACTCTCAATGAAAGCACCAATGATTAAGGATTGTGATCGGTGTTGTTATTTATACGTTGGGTTGTGAATAAACGGCGCACTCAGGGCCTTCGTTTATCCACGATAGGTGTATCTAGCAGACGCACTCAGGGCCTTCTTCTAGACACTGTGACTTCGAGACGCTCTCAGGGCCTTCTCTCCGACACTGTATGTAAACACGCACTGACGGCCTTGTTTATCACACGTTAGAACATAAAGTTCCCCTCAATTGACTCACCAATTCAATACTCAATTCAACATGTAAAATATGATGAGGTACATGGGGTATTTATAGATGCCAACTACCTCTAAGCCTAATAGATCTAGATCTCCTATTCTATGCAATAAAATAAATCCTAACTCTAGAAAGCAATAAAATCCTAAAACTACCAAATAACTATTGCTTGGTTTGCACACCAAGCAAATCTAGAATGCTCCTAACTAAAAACCTTCTCACGCCCAACTCTCGGCCGCCTTTCATCCCGCACGCGTCCCACGTGTATGCGCGCGCCGCTCGTCCGTGTTGCCTAATCCTTGGCGCCATAGGACTCGCGTGTCCTTATCGCACGCGCGCGCCTGCGCGCGCGCCCAGCGTTGCCGCCATTCCTCTTGCGCGTGCCTGCCAGCGCCCCTCTCCTATGCCTACCGCGCCTAGGCAAGCGCCCGCGCATACCGCCCACTCGCGTGCCCCCGCTCGCTGCGTTCCTTCTCGTGGCCTCGCGCGCGTCCCAACCGTCGCTCGTGCTCCGATCCTGTACCGCGCACTCCTGTACGCCCGTGCACCCACCAGCCGCGTGCCCGCGTAACTCTCGCAAATCCCGCGTGCACAGCTTTTTTGCCCATTTGTGCGCATCAAGGGTCGATGCGCACCTTTCGCATTTGAGCCCCTTACTAAACTCGTCGGTCCCTAACTCCACTTCCGTATCACGTCTTTTCTACGTCGCCAGCGGAACACTGAGGTCGATGTTCAGTCGATGCTCAATAGTGCTCGCATCAATATCAGTCTAACTCCTCGAACTATAAGCAAAAATATCAACAGATTCTCTCACCAAAAACTCCGACCTCAAGGAATCCTCCAGCTTAGAACTGATTATAGATACTTTGGTATTAACCGAGAGATTCCTAATATATAATAATAGGTGTAAAAATACCCACCCTATATAGACATGTGCCCAGATAATTGAGCTCGATGACATATATATACATCATTCGGGTCATCAGCCGCCGTTTCGTTCATCAATCAATTTGCATAATTACGAGAATCTCCCTTAGGCCTGCCGCGTCAGTTCACGGCTTGATGAATTCCGGCTGTTCGACCTAATGGGATGTGAATTAGCCTCTGCACAAATGCGAGGCCCGACTCCTGCAGCTGTCCGCGGGCTCTTTTCCACTTTCCATGGAACGCCCAGAAGGTGTTCGACGTCTTACCCAAATAAAAACATTGTCTTCTATACGATTCTTTTCCGAACGTCCTTCTCCGCTGCTGCTCTAAGAGCTCAGGAAAAGCCCAAATGGGAATTTAATTATAGAAGAAACCCAGAAAAAATACGTTCTTGGCGCGAGGCAAATGAACCTCAGAGTTGCAATTCAGAGGTTTCAGTTGACAGGGCGGGAGGGGGTTCTGAGAGTGCCAAAATGAAAAATAAGCTCAAGCGGTACTCCGGGATGTTGAGAGATTGTGCCGCTGAGATACGTTTGCGCCAAGGTAAAGCAATTCATGGTCGCATCATTAGAAGTGGGACTGAGCCGGATGAGCACCTATGGGTCTCTTTGATCAATTTCTATGCTAAATGTGGAGAGTTAGGATGTTCACGCAAAGTTCTCGAGCAAATGCCGGTGAAAGACGTGGTTTCGTGGACTGCATTGATATCGGGTTTTGTGGCTCGAGGACGTGGAGCTGAAAGCCTAGAGTTGTTCTGTGATATGAGGAGGGAGGATGTGCAGCCAAACGAGTTCACTTTGGCCACTGTTTTGAAGGGTTGCTCGTTGTCTTGGGATTTAGATTTCGGAAAACAAATGCATGCGGAGGTAGTCAAAGCCAGCCTACTATCCGATGCTTATATCGGTTCCTCTTTGATCGATCTTTACTCTAAATGTGGGGAAATGGAATATGCTGATGATGTTTTCTGTATGATGCCAGAGAAAAATGTCGTGCTGTGGAATACTTTACTTAACGGTCATGCACAGGCAGGAAATGGGGATGCAGTTTTGCGATTATTTCGAGAAATGGAAGATCCGGACATGAGATTTAGTAATTACACATTGTCCATTGTTTTAAAGGGAATTGCTGGCTCGGGTGCTCTGGAGGCTGGCCGGGCAGTCCATTCTATAGTGGTTAAGGTTGGAGGCGAGCTCGATGATTTTGTTAGGTGTAGCCTGCTTAATATGTACTCCAAATGTGGCGCGGCTTATGATTCCGTCAAAGTATTTAAGACGATTAAAAACCCTGATATAGTTGCGTGGAGTTCGATTATCAGTGTTGTCGATCAGCAAGGTTGGCCTGAGGATGCAGCCAAATTGTTCTGGCTATTCAGGCATTGTGATGAAAGGCCCAATGAGTTTACTCTCTCTAGTATTGTTAGTGCTGCCACTGACTTGGGTGACCTGCGTTATGGTCAGAGCGTACATGCGTGCGCTTACAAATTCAGTCTTGAATCAGATAATTCGATCAGTAATGCATTAATTGCAATGTATATGAAACTAGGATGTACTGATGATGGGCACCTTGTCTTTCAGAAAATGGCCAACAGGGATGTGATCTCCTGGAATGTCCTTTTATCTGGATTCCATGATGATGAAACTTCTGATCGTGGGGCTAGGTTTTTCAAGCAGATGCTTACTGATAGTTTTAGGCCCAACATGTACACATTTATAAGCATTCTGAGGTGTTGTTCAAGCCTCTTGGACATCGAGTTTGGGAGGCAAGTGCATTCCCACATAATTAAAGATAACATAGACTGTGACAGTTATGTGGGAACTGCTTTAATCGACATGTACGCCAAGTGCTTGTGCATGGATGATGCAGAGGTTATTTTCAGCAGATTAAAAACCAAGAATGATGCTTTCAGTTGGAACGTTGTCATCTCGGGTTACTCGCAAACCAACCAAGGAGAAAATGCTGTTCACTGGTTTAATCGGATGAGGAGAGAAGGTGTTGTTCCTAATGAGTTTACTCTTGCCAGTTGCCTGAGGGGTTGCTCCTCAATTGCGAGCCTTGACAACGGGCGGCAGTTTCATTCCCTGTCAATCAAGGCTGGGCTGTCCACAGACGTGTTTGTATCCAGTGCCCTTGTGGATATGTACGGGAAATGTGGAAATATTGACAATGCAGAAATACTATTTTATGGCACTCAATCACGTGACACTGTTCTATGGAACACGATAATATGCGGATATGCTCAGCATGGGGAAGGTGATAAGGCTCTTCAAGCATTCATGGAGATGATAAACGACCAAGTGTTGCCTGATGGAGTTACTTTCACTGGGATCCTTTCTGCGTGCAGCCACAATAGGTATGTGGAACAAGGAAAAAGGTTTTTTAATTCGATGAGTGAATCCTATGGAGTTACTCCCACTGTCGGGCACTATGCTATCTTGGTCGATATACTTGGCCGAGCAGGCATGTTCGATGAGGTCGAAAAAGTTATCAAGCATATGGAGCTAATTCCAAATGCTTTGATCTGGGAGAATGTTCTCGCGGCATGCAAGTCTCATGGAAATGTGGAATTGGGAGAAATAGCAGCTGAGAAGCTCTTTGAGTTGGCTCCCGGAACAGATTCAAACTACATTCTGTTATCTAATCTGTATGCTAGCAAAGGGAGATGGAATGATGTGGCCAGGGTTAGGGCCTTGATGACCCATCAAGGCATAAAAAAAGAACCGGGGTGCAGCTGGGTTGAGGCAGACGCTCGAGTTCACGTTTTCCTGTCTCAGGACACATCACATCCGAGGTTACTTGATATCCATCGCAAGTTGGACGAGTTAAACCAAAAAGTTGCTGAAGCTGGTTATGTGCCTGACACGAGTTATGTGCTTCATAATGTGGCAGAAAACAGTAAGGTGGATAATCTTTTTGGTCATAGTGAGAGGTTGGCCTTAGGTTTTGCTCTCATAAACAGTGTTGGTAGTAAAAGAATCAGGATATTCAAGAACCTTCGGATATGTGGGGACTGCCATGAATTTATGAAGTTGGTGTCTGGGATCGTTGATCAAGAAATTGTGGTTCGTGATGCCAGCCGTTTCCACCACTTCCAACGTGGATTGTGCTCGTGTAAAGATTATTGGTGATTTTTGTGAACAGTAATTTTCTGGTCAGGGGAGTTTGGGCCACAGGCAATGTTGTCAAATCTGTTAGAGAAGATTTTTCGTGAATGTGTTGAGGTTCACGATGAAGTTAGGGCTGTCGTTGCTGCTTGAAGACTTGGACATGGGCAATGTGGAGAATCCTTATGTAAGGCAAGCATTTTCGTTGATGGCCTTACTTTTTTTTATTTTTTTTTTTATTTGATAGTTTTGTTTTGGGCCACTAGCCTGCATGCTGTTGTTGAAGACTGAAGAGATATACAGCTGAATCATCTCTGCCTTCTTTTATTTTATTTACGTCTGTCGAGATTTCACGTTCGTCGTTTAATTTTCTTACACACCAACATTTTGAGTCACAAATCATTCAATCTTTTGGTCTGAATGTTTAAGGGAGTCTTAATTCTATTAAGCTATTTCTTGGAGACGGTCTTTAACATTTTCTGATGCGTGGTTTAACAATAGGTTTATGCTATTTTTTCATTGATATATTCTATTTGTTTCTCTAGTTCTCTCCTAAATGCTTTATACTGTTGCTACATCTCAGATCACCACTAGTTTGCGACTTCCTGGTTTGATAGAGCCTTCAATTTTTGGGACAAAGATGGTAAGCTGTCTATTATGGTATAAAATATATTTCTGTTTCAGTAGTTATTACTTATTAGATCTAGATTGCAAAAAACTTGTAATGCAGGTCTCGTCGCACCTTTTTTCATTTCTTTCTTTTCTTCTGTTCTGTTTAGTTAGGCTATGCTGAGGTGCAGTCAATCAATTACCTTGCAGCATTGTCAACAATGATAGCTCCATCTTTGCATATTCGGTAAACCGCATTTGAGTATGTTCTCCTATAGAATTTTTTTCTTTTCTTTTATTTTTTTTTTTTAAATATTACAAAGTTTAGGCTAATTAAGGTAATCCAAAAATGCTGAATTCAACTGTGATGATGCTGTTGAATTCAACTGTGATGATGCTGTTGAATTCGACTGTCATGATGCTGTTGAACACCGACTGAGTGAAAGAATACTGTGTCCTAATTCAATTCTAAGGCATTCATCAAAATTGGAGCAAACCGATATTATGCTCTTCGATTTGTACTTATGGTGGAAACTGGACCTGTCAAGTTGTTGTAAGCACACCCCTGATTCTCTTCCAAAGATATAAAAACGAGCCCTTTTCATTTGGTTGTATCTTAGGTGGAGCAATGAAGAGGGCAATGTTTGCTAAGAAATTAGTGGGCTTGAAGGCTGGAGTTGGCTATGGAGTGATGAGCCGAATGGGTGGCCACCCATGTTGATCCCTTGAAGAAGAAGGTTTTCTTTATTACCATGTCGCCCACGCATCGAAAGTATGTCAATGCGAAAAAAAAAATGTGTTTTTTTGAGGAAAAACATGTTGGTTTTCGAATTAAAGTGTCGAGACTATTTTTATATGAGATATATATTTGTTGTTTTTCTCAACTAAACATGAAAGATGAGTGGGAGCCAAGAAGTGAAGGCAACTGTTACGACGAAAAAGTGCCAATAAACGACAAAAATTACTAGGGAAGTGGGTTCGATCAGCCCATGACGCGATCTCCCTTCACACAGTTTACCAAATACCCAACGTTTGTCATTGAGATTTCCCATCAGTCTACCCAACCCAACCCTCCCCATTATTTTATTCTCTTTACCTAGCCAAAACCCTAAACATACATCATCGGCTTAAAGAAAATCCTAGAAGCGATTTTAACAGATTAAAGGAGATTGAAGAAAGAGACTATCCTTATGCTCTCTAAAAAATTGGACGGGTGATCTAAGAGCGCCTGCGTCCAATTCCCACTGTTGGCACTGCTGCAGACCATCAACCCGCTGCTCGATGTTGCTGGAGACGACATGTATGTGCTGGAGGTAACTCTGACTTGATTTGGGCATTCTTCGTTTTTATCCTTATTTATATCTTTTTAGTTTGTTTGGTCTAATTATTCATCTGAAAAAGAAAAACGAATGTCAATGAACAAGAAATGTTACGGCAAAACAACTATAGAAATTTATGAAACACGCGTGACAAATTCCAGATACAACACAGAAGGCTGAGTTATTTGACAAGAGAGTTACACCAACAGTAGAGAAGAATCATGAATCCTCCTAAGTATTGTTGATCAGGCATATTGCTGAGAGGTTGTCGACTTCGTACCTGAAGATGATCCATAAACATTAAACAGATAAACGACAAACAAACTTTCGATGGGTGATGTTTTAAACCCAATGCTCGAGACTATTGTGAAAGGATTCCACAGATACACAAGTGTAGTATATTATTGTAAGTTTTTTTTTCACTCAATTCTTGAAGATTTGAACTGGATCTGTACTCAAATTTTTAGCTTATTTAACGAATACTATATCAAAAAATATGATTTGGCTCTTGACTTTAAAAATGTTTTGGTTAGCGTGTGTACTATATCGTTCATGGATGTGGTGAATCCAATAAAATGTGAAGGAATTTGAGAGTAACTGCTTAGAAATTACAGAATGGCTTCGTCGTGAGTCTATTATCACTCGAGGGGTCTTGATTTTATAGTGATTGATGGCTCCATAACTAAATTGTGTTGGAATAATCAAGTACACATTAGTTGTCTTTCTGTGGATTATGAGATGACTATGTTTACTTGTTGGAATGTGGGTTTTATATTTTATTTGCAAAGTTAGTTTGGATGTGTGTTGTCTTGGTTTGGATATCCTTATTACTCAGATTAATTGGTTAATCCAAGCTCTAGGCTCTGACGTGAAGCTCTAGATGTTTGCGCGTGTATCATGTTGGAAAATTGGTGTCAAAATTACACGGGAATCCTACGAACTGATATGTATTTTCAGTTCTTACAAATAATCTAAAAATAGAAAATTACAATTGAACTGAAAAATAAAATACAACTGAAAACAGAAAGATTTTATAGCCGAGGCGAGTAAAACTCTTTCCGCAAGAAGAATACGCCCCGTGTGGCAGCTAACGGTTCAGGCGTAACTTCCCCAAAGATACAACGACAAACATCTCTAAATCTGTAGCACACCAGATTTACGAGCTCCGACGAACTTTAACGGAGTTGAGAATTGAGCACTAAAAATAAAAAGATATATCATAAAACAAATAAAAATATCACTTGTTTCTCTTCTTTTGATATTTTTATGTCCGATATTTGGACATATATCTATCTTTATTTCCTTTCTCTTTTCCTTTCTCCTCTCTTTATTTCACTAATTGGTGTGCCCTTTCATTCTGAAGGGATGTCTATTTATAGGGGAGCTCACGGAACAAGATGCCATCAACATTGCCAACTGACAATAGCTGTCACTCCATAATTGCATCAGACACATGTTACCTTAATTGGAAAGCACATGCAGCTCAATTATTCCAACATGCAAGTGCATTATTGAACACTTAAAAGATGCCAATTGAGTGTATAATAATTCATGTGGGGCCAACTATTTAATTACACTCAAATTCTAACAATCCCCCACATGAGTGTAAATTAAATATATATATATATACTCTTGTGCTCAATCCTCACAAAACTCTATTGCATCAGAAAAGGTAGCTTTTGGCTTTGAACCTTTCTTAGTAAACATCATCGGATGTACTGGCGGCCTAGTGGACATAATGCCTTGAACTATTCCTCCGTAGTGTACACCAAGACAATGACATTCACACAATAGAGTCTTAACTCCATTCCGTTCTATCGTTGTGTCCGTTTTGGCCATGGACAACACAATGGATTCATAAGTGTTTACATTTGAAGCGGCCCACACTTCACACTTATATAAGTGACCTCCCTATCAAGAGTATCCTGCCATACTCCACCTTTACAAGGTTAGGGATTCATTAAAAGTCCATATGACTTACTCTCATCACAATCAACAGGTTATCTTGCACTTGGAGTGCTCTAGGGAATAGCTTTGGACATTCATATGTTCCAAGTGCTCAACTGAATTTTCATAGCTTAGTTTTCCCTTTGAACCAAGTTCGTGGGATCTCCACTCAATATGGTAGGGTTACCACTATGATCATTCTTTACATTGTGGATTTTTAAGCCCATTCTCTCTAGCAAAACTGTCAATTGATCTCTATTCAATCCTTTCGTCAAAGGATCAGCCAAATTTTCCTTAGACTTCACATAGTCAATGGAAATAATACCATTTGTAATCAATTGACGTACGGTATTATGTCTACGACGGATATGTCTAGACTTACCGTTATACAAGTTGCTTTGCGCTCTACCAATAGCAGCTTGGCTATCACAGTGAATCATCACAGGCGGCAAAGTCTTATCCCAACATGGAATATCGGATAGAAAATTTCTAAGCCACTCGGCTTCTTCACCAGCTTTCTTAAGCGATGAACTCCGATTCCATCGTTGACCGAGCTATACACGTTTGTTTTGTGGATTTCCACGAAACTGCACCTCCTCCAATACAGAAAACATATCCGCTAGTGGAGCGAGAATCTCTCGAATCTGATGTCCAGTTTACATCACAGTACCCTTCAAGTACAGCTGGGTATCTCGAGTATTTTAACCCGTATTCAAGGGTGTACCTCAAGTACTTAAGTACCCTTCTCAAAGCATTCCAGTGCTCATGACTTGGATTGCTCGTAAATCTGCTCAACTTATTCACCGGATAGGCCAAGTCTGGTCGTGTACAATTCGTCAAGTACATCAGACTTCCTATTATCCGTGAATATTCCAACTGAGCCACTGGTTGACCTTTGTTGACTTCCAAATTTATACTGAGATCAAGGGGTGTCTTACACCTAGACTGTGCACCATCATAGGTATCAAATTTCTTGAGCACTTTCTCTACATAATGAGATTGTGACAAGACAATTCCATCTTGGGTTCTGATAATTCTTATTCCAAGAATAACATCAGCCAAACCCATATCTTTCATGTCGAAATTTCTTTTCAACATTCTTTTTGTATCCATGATCACTTCATGGCTACTCCCCATGATCAACATGTC